GATACTACACCATTCCTGATGTTTTCACATTCAGTAATGTTTATAATAAAATAGACGTTTCAATTTAAAGAGTGTCCCTAGACTCAAAAGTTTATTTTTAATTATCTAAAACTTTTTCATTTTCATTGTTCAGATTTCTTTAAAAAGCAAAAATACTTCACAAATACAGTTAAATATATCTTTCAGTTATGTGTTTTATTAGAATGGAATGCTTAGAAAAATCAATAATTTTGATTTCTAGCTTTGGCCAGAGTGTTAGTACATGAATTTGGTTAAATAATTTAAATTTGGAAATTCTAATTGCAGAAATGTCCAGAAAATGACATACGAAGTTGCTGCCTAGCAGAAATTAAGCAGACGGAGGAAAAATATACAGAAACATTGGAGTCAATAGAAAAAGTAAGTCGTCGGGTGTCATTCTTGATGGTCAAATACCATCTTGTATAATTAATGCCCTGGGCTCAAGGTCATTCTGCTGTGTCTGTGTTGTGATTGTCTGTAGAACTTTGGGTTTAAAGATCTCAAAGCAGATTTATTCATCCCACAACTGTTTACTGATTTCTCAGTACCTGAATGGTACTATTCTAGAGACTGAGGATGTAGCAGTAAACACGACAGAACTCTGATTTTCATGACACCTTCTCTCTCGTGGGAGGGTTTATAATTTAAGTAAATAATATGCCAGGTGGTGGTAAGTCCTCTGAAGAAAATCAAGGCAGAGGAAGGGGATAGAAGGTGACGGGGGAGGCTGGTATTATCCTGTGCAGAGTGGTAATGGACGGCCTCTTTGATCAGATCCTGTCTAAGCAGACAGCTGAGTGAATTGAGGGAGCAAGCCACGCAGTGGCCAGAGCTGACAGTCCGCGGGGGACAGGCCCTCAGACGGGACCATGTTCAGTGTGCTTCCAGGAACAGCAGGAGTCCAGGTGGCCGAGGCAGAATGAGTGAAGGGAGCAGTGAGATCAGAGGTGTGGTGAGCCCCTGGGTCACAGAGGGGCACACAGAGCATCTGGCTCAGAGCTGGAGCAGTTTGAGTAGAAGTGGTCTGATCGAATGTAAGTTTTTAACAGCTCTTTCTGACTCTTCTCAGGCAGGGGAGGAAACTGGAAAAAAGTGAGAAGGATATTGCAGTAATTAAGTTGACAGAAGATGGTGGTATTGGTAGAGGTGGTAGGGAGTGGTCAGATGCTGAATAAATTTTGAGAGTAGAGGTGAGTGAATTGATGATGAATTAGGTAAAGGAGGTGTGGAAAAGAGCAATCAAGAATGCTAGAGTTTTAGCATGAGTAACTGTGTGGATGGTCAGGATGGGGACTGAGATGGGGAAGGACAGGTTTGGGAACCAGCAGTCTATCAGGACCCAGTAAATTTGCAATACCTGTTAGCTTCCCCGGGGATGCGTTGAGGAGGAAGTGAGAGAGATGAGTCTGACACCAAGAGGAAGGGGTGACTCGACATACAGATTGGGCCGTTGTTGCCCTGGGTGGTGTTGAAGGCCGTGGCCCTCGGTGGGATCACCAAGGGAGTGACTGTTGATGGAGGTGTGAGGCCACCTCTGCTGCCCTCCACATTTGCAGGTTAAGAAAATGGGAACCAGGAGAACCTTTTGGGAGTTTACAAAAAAGAGGTGAAGGTGTGGAAGACTTGTTCAGGAGAAGGAGGGAGTGAATGTGCTGCAATGACGTAGCACAGCGGGCTTAGTTGGGCTTTGTGGTTATATTTTGAATAAGAACATCAGTATAGTTCCTGTTTAACTTTTTAGGTACAGACGCAAAATATATAGCCAGCTGGGTGTAACCAGGGTGTTCATTTTTCCTCAGTGGAAGAGGAGAGGGTCAGGGTATATGCAGGGAAAGGATTCTGATGATGCCCGTAGGGGGTGAACTGGGTGACAAGGGAGGTGAGGACATGGGGGATGTGGGCTGGTCAGTGGACTGGCAGACCCAGTGGGGTTGAAGAAGTCCTTGAAGGAATGAGCTGGAAAGGTGGGAGGGCAGAGGTCAGCATCGGTGCTGTGGAGCCTTTGCAGGTGTCGGTGCTGGCAGGGTCTTGGGATGTGACCACGGGAGCAGCTGAGCTAGGATGGGACACAGATTATTGGAGTCCAAGGAACTGAGAGGCCAGGCTCCTGGAAGGATCATCGGCACAGGTGCTGAGATGGCCGAAAATGAGGGTGGGAGGAATAATGGGAAGAGATGCGGCCAGCCAGGAGCTACAGTTCTCAAGGGATGAAGGGGAATGACCCATAAATTGCATAAGCAGATTATTGAGCTCAGGGATCTAGAATCTCCACAAAGCATATGAGGGATGTTTTGTCTTAACCCTCAAATACGTCTCCAAAACGTTACCATTTTTTCCAGTTCAGCTAATGGTGTTCTCTCTCCCTCTCGTTTTTCACGCTTACTTTCAGAAGCAGTTGTAGCCCAGATCTTTTATTTGTACTTAAAATGTATTAACTATTTATGTCTTTATATTTCTGTTCAAGTATAATATCTTCACGGTAGTTCTTTTTTCTCAGTATTCATAACGTTGATAAACAGTTAACTCTCCATAAATATTTATTGCTTGCTGGTGAAAACTGTCACATACATGAGGATAAGTTGTGCTTAATGATTCTTCTCTCTTCTCTCTGGTAGTATTTCATGGCACCGTTAAAAAGATTTCTGACAGCAGCAGAATTTGATTCAGTATTCATCAACATTCCTGTAAGTAAAAATGCGCCAGTTGACATTCTATAAAATCCTCATTTTCTTCTTGACTCCCTATTTTAACATTCTCCTATTTTCTTTAAGAATTTTGACCCAATTATTATTATTATTATTTTTTGCCTCCTGAGTTCTTATAGTCTTATTCTATTCTGGAAGTAACTGATATGTCATATTGTCAGCCGGAAGTCCGTCAGGGTGTATGCTGAACACAGATGGATAAGATTCATGTGTTACCCTGCACTGCCCATCATGACATGGTGTCTCAGTTAGTCCCTGCTGTTACTGTCTCTTCACCTTGTGGCCGTCCCCTTCTGCCCCACTCCCTGCTCTCATGTTCCTCCAGCCCCCGGACCCCTTCTTGCAGACACTGGCCTGGCTCCATCCGGCTCCATCCACTTCCCGCCATTCCTGCACTTCCTTGACCTCTGCTTTGTGATGTTTTCCGTTTCCAGATGTGTCAGCCTAAACTCCCATTTCTGAAATACACTATTTCCTTAGGATTTAACAGTCCATTTTAATGGTAAGATGTGAGGAGCTTTTCTTCACATTTATGTAAGCATTTCAGATTTCAGGATACTGTACAATTATCTGACAACCCTAAAAGGATACTTACCCAGAAGCAGAGAAGCAAGCCAGTGCTAAACCCTGTGAGGTCTTGCTAGGCAAGACTCACGTTCTTAGACCTCCAGAACAGGCTTGGTTTTAACATACAGCTTTTATAGACAGTATATAAGCATTCATGTGCAGGCTGGCTTGTATCAATTTTGATTCTTTTAGATTTAGTGTTGCCGTGCACCAGGCAGTTAGCTGTGGCATGCTGTCCTTGTCTCTGATTTTGGCCAAAGGAAGATGTTTGTATTGATTTCTATGAAGGAAGAAGAAGGTCACAATATCAAACGAACATTTAGCATAAAACAAACCACACATTCTAAGAAGAGGAGGCTCTGGAGCCATCTGAGTAGGCTCGCTGTGACTTAGGACCCATTTGACAGTCCTTATTCTTGGGGCTTTTCCACATTCCTCAAAAAAATAACAACAGAGCCAACACATTCATGTTTCTCTCCTGCCTACTGAGGAAAGGCACGCAGAGATGTCAGTGTGTGCTCCAGGGTGCACGGGAAGAGATGGAGGGAGAAATGGCACCTTGACTCAAATCTCCTCGTTTCTTGGCTGTGATGCGTATTTACCATCTCACTGGAAATTACTTGCTTATCAGGAGAAATGGGAAATTGTGACTTTTGAGTTGCCCCAGTGCACTGCCTGCTACAATTTATTTGCTGCTTATTTGTGCCTTTAGTTGTCTGGTTTCAAGTAATTTAGTCTGATTATTGTTAGCTTAGCTCCAGGACACCACTAATTGACCAGAGTACAAATCTGTGTTTTTACGTCCCAAGGACATGAATCATTACTTTATCCTGTCAATACATCATTAAGCACTTGGATGGTTTTATTTAAAAATTTAAAGTGATTATAAAATGAAAATGAACTGTACATGTTTTTATACAAGGAATAAATTACCCTTTAATAACTAGTGAGATAATTTCTTTTTCCACAGGACACTGACATTTCAAGTTGGATCTGAAAATGCTATTTGCCATGCACGTGGCCTGTCTTCCTCTCTCCGCCCCCTCCTCCTTCCTCCCCTCCCCCTCCTCTTTTCTTCCTCTCTCCCTCCCCCCTTCCCCCCCCCCCTTTACTGATGGTAGCACGTGTATATATTGAGGGAATTCGGCATATCCTTGAATATCTAGCAGTGCTGGGCCCCCGGTGATTTTTGGGGTTTTTTTTGATTCTGATTCCTAATTTCCTTTGCCATTGTTTTCTTTTCTCAGGAACTTGTGAAAGTTCATCGAAACCTAATGCAAGAGATTCATGATTCCATTGTAAATAAAAATGACCAGAACTTGTATCAAGTCTTCATTAACTACAAGGAGAGGTAACTTTTGGATTTCAGATTTTGTGGCTATTTGTTTGTAATTACAGTGAGGGTTAGTATTACAATTGCACAAAACTGGCTCTTACTACAGTTTATTAAGATCCTACCTGGGTAGTAATTAGAACATGGGACAGTTAATCTCAAAGCGATAGTTGAAGTCCATATGTGTATCAAGAAAAAAAAAAAGTTTCAGGCTTTTGCACTGCAAGTCAGAAGGTGCAGGATTCTGTGCAGAACCTGTCGCCCTGGAGTTCTGGAGTCTCCAGGAAGGCATTTTTAACTCTGAGCCTCCTTTTTTTCCACCTGTAAATGTTAGGGGTGGATTAGCTGGTACCTGCTGCTTTTTCCAACTCTAATATTTTATAATTCTCTACTTTGGAGCATTAGATTCACAGCCAAAATCAGTTTCCCTTTCTGAATTTGAAAAAAAAAATCTTCTGAACAACTCATATGAATTAGAAGTAACCAAGGAATTTGCTTAAAAGGCAGTTCTGTCTTTTAAAATGAAGCGCCATAGTCTAGTTCTAAAAAGTGGCTAATGAATTGCTTTGCATCAACATTAGATAAACATTAATGTAGTAGTTCCCCCCCCCAACCCCCCAGCCCAGCAGAGTTAAGAGAAACATTAAATCAGCCAGACTCTGTGAAAATCAAAGCCGGTCTTACTCCAGAGATGCCCTTCCTGAAGCAGACTCCGACCCCTTGCAATACGAGTTATCTTCTGTCCAGCTCAGTGCAGGCTTCTCAGTCCCACTTTCCAGACGATGTATTTTTCTTAATTAAAAAGTTGGAAGGAGTAGGAGGTTTATTAATGAGTGGAGTTGTAAGTAGTGACTACAGTGAAATCGCAGCAGAAAATAAAACTGCTCCTGAGTGAGCGCAAACAGTGAAGAAGTTGATCTCTAATAGGAAGTTAAACAGATGTTTTATTTTGTTTTTGATGTATATGTTGTATCAAACAGTATTAACAGTCATTACGCCAGTTTGTAACATCTACCTGCTGTAAAGTTGTATGTGGAATCAATCCTGTTCAAATTTAGAAGTAAAAAAAAAGTCGTCTTTAATACCATAAGGATGAATGACCCTCATTCCACGACTGTATGTATGATGTGTGTTAAAAAGAAATGAGTAAATTGCCCGGGGTGACCGAGATAGGGGGAGGGGCAGGACGAGCCAGATTTACTGATTATTCCTAACATGGGTTTAAATAGATGAAAAATTCTACCTCTTTCCTCTTCCACTTTATTCTTGCCTTTTTGTCCTACAGATTTCTTCCTCTCTCTTCTTCCCTTTCAGGTTGGTTATTTATGGGCAGTATTGCAGTGGAGTGGAGTCAGCCATCTCTAGTTTAGACTACATTTCGAAGACAAAAGAAGATGTCAAACTGAAATTGGAGGTGCCTGTTTATTTCCTGTTTCTATATGACATAGAGTAAAAGAAACCAAAAACATGTTCCTTTTCATGATCAAAGCAGCAACAAATTTCCCGTGCATCCTACGTATAATTTCATGTCAGTTTTATAAACTATTTTAATACATAGCTCTATAAAATAATCATATGGCGGTGGTAATGGCAGTAGTAAGATAGAAGCTTTATTTTACATGCATTATCTCATTAGAGCCTCATGGCTTTGTGAGATACATACAGTTAATTTTCCTATCTGTGGGTGAGAAAGCCAAGGTTTAGCGAGATGATGAGTAATTTACCCAGGGTAGTAAAAGGTACAGGGTGAGTGAGATATGTGTGAGATAATGTATATGTAGGTTTAAAATGTTTATTTAAAATATAAGACATTTAGGGGCAGGTGTATAAAAAGGGAATGGATATTGCCCATAAAAAGGAAGACTAGACAGACACACAGGTAATAGGATTAAGTAGAATGTGAGAAGCATTCATTGAAAGGGCTTCATGAGTAAGGCTGAGTGGTCACTTCAGTAAGTAGAGTTAGACAGTGGAAGATTTATCTGAAGGGTTAGCATTTGAGATCGGTCACTGAAGAATGGGGTGAATCTTGACAGATGAGAAAACATATAGGGCTTTCTGGAAGAATTGGTATGTCTTGACCAGAAGAGTCGGGGAAGTTTGAGAAGTGCCGAGCAGACTAGTGTAAACAGCACGTGGTAACAATGGAAAATAAGTCTGGAATCTGTGTTAAGTTATTTTTGTGTGTGTGCATTTTTTTTTCCGCCACAAAAAGTGTTCGCACTTTCAAGAAAACTTCTGAAAAATGATATTTGTGTGTTATGTGAATTATCATCTCAAATATCTTGTCCATATGTTTGGATTTTCTAAAGTTTCAGGTAGAGATACGTAGTCAACTGTTAGGTGACAGTGTGGCTTAGCTGGCTCTCTCTCATCCTCTCTGCTGCTCTTTGTTCGGTTTAGCAATGAAGTCAGGTGATGAACAGGAGAAAAAGTAGCAGATGATTTACAAATCAGAACTCCTTCACTGTTGTAGCATATCTGGTCTGGCTTCATAACTCTTTAATTCCCACCAAAGGGAACTATTGGTTAGAAGGTTTGCACGTCGACAGGCTGCCAAGTAACTGCACTAGCTCAGTGTCATAGATCTTTCTTCCTTACTTCTTACAGTCCCTGGACGATGTGGACCTTATGTCTAGAGATGGCTTGAGTCCCTAAATGACATCCTTACAACCTTGTTCGCCTAAGGGGCCCCCACTCCTTTTTGGAGAATAGAGCCTCATAAGTGTAGAACTGTTAGCCACCTTGACTTAAAATATGATGGTGAGATAGAACTTTACAACTTGCGCAACTGGCTCCTGATAGATCTACCATTAAAGCAGTTTTTGCTTTTGTTTTTGTTTTAAATCAAGATATATAATTCTGGCTCAAGGGAGGAGTCAGCAAGTTGTCCATCAAACCTCCATGAGATTCTCGGCATCATTTGAACGTTCCTCTCCTTTTTTCAGAGTCAGTGTCGCCATCCTGCCCAGTGAGCACCCTCTGGAGCTCTAGGGACACAGTTGCTGTCGTCACTGTCAGCCTTAGGGAAAGAGAGGGCCTCGGGCTGAGTTTGAAAGGCTCAGGGTGAGGTGCTGATGGTTCTCTTTTCCTCAGTTGAAACGCCCCGTTTCTCCCCATCTCCCTGACCTGGAGGTACTTACTCAGATGCTCACTGCTAGTCCTCAGCACGTAGTCCTGGCTGGAGCTGTCTCCTGCCAGTCCCAGCATGTGGAGGGAAAGCTGCCTTAGACTTGGTTTCTCTCTGCCTCCGTCTTCAAATCTTCTTTTCGGTGGTTACTTTTGCTCTTGTTGATTTTTGTCTTTTTTCCTCCACTTTGGGACCAAAATAACATGGAGTGAAGGGTAATAGAGTCTTTTATCTCGCCCTACAAGCTGGCTCACCCCCATTCCGTTTTATTTTCTTCTCAATTAGTGTTGGAGTTGAGGCTAAGCACACGGCTGGATATTTGGGAAGAATAATTTCTACGCTTTGTTTACTTTCACTGCTGACGGACGTTTTAGGCCTGTCTCAGGCCCCCTGTCGTGGCTAATGGCAGCAGTGCTAGTTGCTATACTTCCTGAGCCTGTAACTTAGAACTGGAACTGATCCCCCCCCAAAGTTTTAAACTCATTTCCATAACATAACAAAATGAATTTTAAATTATGTAATATTTTTGTTCTTAACACTATGTTAAGATGGCATAACATAAGAAGTGTGAGATACAACTTCAATTCCAAGGGACTTAAAATGCAGCTGGGAAGATGAGACCCGTTCATTACAATAATATTAACAGTTTGACCTCCTATTTGAGACCCACGATCCAGAACTCTGTGTAATCTGTGGAAGCAAGAAATCCGTTGGAATAGTTATCCTTCCAGTGAACCGCAGCAACTGACAAGACGTGAGCTAACACGTCAGGATGTGGCCCCAGTTCTTCGTGTTTAGGAGCTGTAGTCAAGCACTCATTAACTCAGTATGGTCTTGGAGCTAATGGTGTTTGTTTTTATAGCTCCTGGTAATATATCCTCTTATGTGCCGAAAAAGCTACGTGTGAGCAAAAGGGAAATCAGAGAGTATTTTCTTGAACACAACTCCTTCCGTGAACTGGAGAGTTCCTTGGTCTTGGATATGTAATTGTCTGAGGATTTTTGGACTTGTTAGGCTGCTCACTAATAAAAATGTTTTTAGGGAACTTCTATTGTTCCTTTGAACTACACAGCAGTTATGTGAGAAACAGTAAAATCAGAAAAGCAACTTGTTCAAGGTCACACAGACGAGAGTTACCAAACTTGATTTAAATTCAGGTGTTGACACTTCAAAGTGCTTGCTTCAAAGTCATAGTTGATGTGAAAAGAGTGAACCAGTCAATACTATTTTTCAGTAAACTCTTACAAAGAGTGTGAGATTAAAAAAATAAAATCTGAGGCTTTTAGAACTTGGAATCCAGTTGTGGGTTTATCCTTTAGTAAATTTTTGGAATCAGTCGTTCCATTTCATTCATTTTAACAAATGTTTATTCAGCAAATAGTGGATTCCTAGAGATATAAAAGACATATTGGGGAAGATACTGCTTACAACAATAATTAAAAGACCCACAGGGCACAGAGGGACAGCACACGTTGGGTTACTAACAGTTTGGGTTGGGATTATTACTAACAGAAGTACAGTCAATCAAGAGGATGATGAGTTTTGCTGGAAACTAGGCAAAGCACACAGCAGTTGGAAAGAACTGAATGAACGCAGCCATGATGGTGGGGAAGGAGCACGGGGGGTGTGATGAGCAGGGCCTTGCTCTTGGTGCCTGGTCCGCAGGCCTGCTGGAGGAGGCTGGTAAAAGGTAATGTGGCATGTAGGGGCAGATGCTGGAGGACCACTAGAAAAAATAATCTTCATGCATAAAAGCGTTCTATGTATTTATTCCCATTTAGTGCTGAAATACTACAAGTTTTATTTCTTTTTTTATTTTACTCGCTGATACTTCCTGTTTTTTAGAAAGAAGGATTGGGGAGAAGGAAAACAAACTATTTTTTGTCTAATAGCAGTTTTGCTTATGACTTTTGCATCTTTTTCTTTGAATGTTTGTGACTCCCTTTGATAAAACTAACAAAATTAAATTTAAAAAAATATTTCATTAGGAATGTTCCAAAAGAGCAAATAATGGGAAATTTACTCTTCGAGATTTGCTGGTAGTTCCTATGCAACGTGTTTTAAAGTATCACCTTCTCCTCCAGGTATGTAACTTAAAACTGTTTATTTGTTCATTCATTACATGCAGCAAAATAGTAATGAAGCATCAACTGCGCTTTGAAACTATGTTTGAGCCCTGTCCCCTTAACAATTTTCAATGATCAGGCTAGCTGCGTGGGAAATAACAGAGCAGCTGGACATCTTTCCTTCCTTTTGGTAAAGATAATCCTGTGTCTCTCACAAAGTCATACATTTTGTCCTCCAAACAGAACTGGCTCCAAAAAAATGTTTAAAATTTAAAACAAAGCAAAACAAATAGAAATGTCCCTACAACCAAATCTTCTGTCATTAGCAGTGATCATTTATTGGACTCTCAGTGTCGCTATACGCTTGAATTTTGCGGGTTAATTGTGTTAGAACCTGTGCCTTATAACCATAAATGAAAGAGAGTTGTGTCACGTTCTGTGTTGCTTTCTGCTATGCCAAATTATAGTAAGACTGCATTTATTTTGAAGTGATTCTTGTTATAACTCCAAAGCTTATGGTTTCCACGGTTAGTCTTCTAATGAGGGTGGAGAGTCTTATAAATTTAATTTGATAGCTGTACCAGGAGACTCATTAGTTCTGCTCCAAAGAAATATCTTACTGTATTAGTCTGTCAGCTCCACTGATACTTGTGAAATGTCATTTTGGAAAGATCTACTACCTGTATGTGGAATGTCATTTTAAGTTTACTGTGCTTTGTACATCTCGTATATTAAATTTCTTGAACTGTAGCTGCAAAATTATTAGTCAATTCTATTTTTGTTCCACTGAGAAATCAGAAGGATTCAAACCCTGATTATTCCTTAAAAATGCATTAAAACATTTATGAGACCTAAACTCAAAGCAACCTAATCAAATTGCATTTTATGAAAAAATAATAAGGAAGACTTAGGCAATCAGTTTCTGAGACATCGTGACACTAAAAACATGTCCACAAGAAGATAGTAATTTACTTTGTAACTTCGGTATAGTCAAATACCAGCTGAAGAATTTAAAAGGTGCAGTTTTCAAGAAACACCCATTTTGGTCACGTTAAAGATTTTAGACAGACTTATAAAAGTATAAAATATGACTATATCGTTTTGAAATTTGGCAATTTTTTTTTACTAATTTTTCTTGGGTGGTTTTATATTTTAAATTTCAAAAATATATTTAGTTCCTTGATGGTTTTTTAAAATAGGAAAAGTTTTATCTGGGACACCACACTTAAGATAGAAATTCTAGAAATGTTTTTCCATTTCAAGATAGTGTCGAGTAGAATTAATTTGTCTACTGTTTAGAAATGTGTTGAATAAATGTGGTATGAATGTGCACATTTCCTACTTACTACTATATTTTAGTGGGTAAATCAGTTTTGAAATGTCTTATGATTTGAAATCCCAGATCTATCAAATTAAAATATTTTATAGTGGGAGGGGGTTGAAACCTTGAGAATAATTTACTATTATTATTTAAGAAGGGAGAAGTAAAAATAGAAATAAAAGAATGTTGCTTTGACAGGTTTATTAGACGTAGCAGATTTGGTATCTGTAGGTTCTGTGTGCAGCTAGAACCACCACTGGTACTGAATGCAGCAAAGGTTTTGGAATGGCTTCCATGGTCCACATACAGTGTTAGGCACTCAGCAGTATAAAGCAGCCCCCCTCACATGGTGATGTTTAGACGGGGAGAGCGAAATGCAGTCTGCCGAGTGCAGTGCCATGTGTTAGGGATGCGGAAGGTACCGAGGTGGTAACAACACGGACCTAGTTAATTACAGCTCGCACAGAGGCCTCTGTCAGGGAAGGCTTTGCAGAGGACAGATTCTTGAGTTGGGCTTTGAAGGAGGAACAACAGTTTGACAGGTGGCTCGGAGAGAAAGGGCTTTCTAAGGCAAGATAACAGCAGGCCTAGTGGAATCAGATATTAGAATGTATTTTGAGAACTGCAATTAATTTAGCAGTACTAGAACATAGGTTGTTTAGGTGGAAGTGGAGAGAAGTTGGAATTGGTGTGCAGAATTCCGATAATGAGGTGTCTTCGAGGTGTGGATGACGACCTGAAGCTTCTGTGGGCTTCGTAGAAGTCTAACAGGATCTGACTCACATGTAGGGACTTCACTGATGTCAGTAGAGTGAGTAGATGGTAGAGAGGATAGACTGCAAGTCAGAAGGTCAGTCAGAAGCCTGGTGTCCTGACCCATTTGAAAAAGAGCAGGGACTTGAGCCGAGGCCCTGGTAGTAGGGCTGGTTTCCAGGCGAAGGACCAAAGGTAACAGAAGTCACCACTGAGGGGGAGGAAAGAGTCTGGGGCGCCTTTTAGGTTTTGGCTTAAGTGATTGCACTGTTGGAGGTGCCATCATTCAGTGAACCATGAGCAGGAACAATAGTAGGGTTGTGAGTGAGGGTGTGTTAGGCTTGGGCGTGTGGATTTGAGGGGCTTGTCAGACACCCAGGTTGAACTGTTTAGTTGGGCATAAGAGACTGGGACTCAGGCGTGAGTCCTGAATTGAGCACATTCATTGGAGAACCACTGTCCCATGAGGAGATAGAGGACATTATGACAACGGTTGTGATGGAATTCTTAGAGTATTTAAAGTAAGAAAAACAGAAGACTGAGCTGAAAATCTAGGGAGCAGTACTTTCTAAGGTGCAGATAAAGAAGAAAGTGTGGAAGACAAGTGAATAGGCAGACATTTAAGATGGACTGACAAATAACAACAGCTACAAACAGAGGCGCCTTATGTCTCTGAGGCCAAAGGAGAGGCTCCATCATCACGATCAAAAGCTGTGGTGGGGGACGGGGTACAGCTCAGTGTAGAGCGCTTGCCTAGCATGCATGAGGTCCTGAGTTCAATCCCCAGTACCTCCATTCAAAATAAATAAGTAAATAAATCTAATTACCCGCCCCCCCCAAAGCCATCAGGAGGCCAAGTTTGATAATGAGTGAAAAGTCTCATTTCAGTTGGCCAGGAGGGGCCTTTCATAACACCTGGGAAGAGGGTCAGTGTGATAATGGGGGACAGAATTCAGGTTCAGCTTTGAAAGGAAAATGTTTTCCAACCATTGTCTCATGTTCGTTTGATGTCTTGTTGAAGTCTTACCAAGACATTGGTATTGAATTTGATGAAATTTTTGAAAACAGAGCCTGCTTGCATCAGATTTACCATATTATGGTGCGAGTAATGATAAAAATGGTTTATTATTTAAACGTTTTCTTATATTTTGGTTTTAATTGGATGAAAGTAGTACTAAACTATATCTTCCAAATAGGAGCTGGTCAAACACACCATGGATCCTATGGAGAAGGCCAATCTGAAACTGGCCCTTGACGCAATGAAGGTAAGACAAATGCATCATTCACTTGTTTGTATTTCTTACTTTTGCCTAAAAACAATGGACTATAAACGGCTAATACATACGTATGATATGCTAGTATATAATATAATATCTGTAAGTATTTGTAGAGTTTTGCTTTTGGTGGGGAGAGCTGAAATCAGTATCTTTGCATGCATTTAATTGTTAGACAAAAACAAAACGAAGAGGTTTATTAAAATAACTTTTGTTATTTATGAAAGTATGACAACTTTCGTAACCACCAGGAAGGATTTAATAGAAAGGTTTTACTTCACATTCCTTTTCTGGTTACTAAGAGAAAACTGTTGGCTTGTGCAAGCTGATGACTTCGGAACACTGGCGTGACTTGTCCTCAAGTCAGGCTGTCTGCCAGGTGGACCTCTGGATGCTGTGTATCAGCACACGTGGATTGGTTTGAGTTTCTGTTTCAGGGAATAAATCTGAAAATCAAGAACTACAAGTAGATGAATGAAGGCTTTTTCAGCATATTGGGGAATCTGTAAAACCCTGATTTCCATGCTCTGCTGGACTCTGACTTTGGAAGAAATAATATTTGCCCCTAACTTAAAATTAAAACATAAGCAAATATTTGTTCTCAAAACAGAATACCAATGTGACTCTGCTCAGAGCAATGCGTAATTACTTGCCTGTGTCTCTGTGCCAATTTTAGTGTTAAGCCTGCCGTTCAGCTGACATTAATATCCTGTCAGGAAACATCACACATTTATTATTATAAAAAAAATCATACCAAGTTTTCCATTTTTTAAAGAGGTCGTGTATAGATACATCCTAGGAAAAGTCAGGCTTTCATTTAGAACAAAGTTAGGAACTGCTTTTTGCCAGGGTTCTGTTCCTGCTGTTACAGATGAATGTAAGAGGGTAGAGAAAAAAGGAAAAGAGCCCAGAAAGCAGGAAAAATCTGGAGCACATATAATAAAAATAGCTGGTTACAGTATCGGAAGATTAGCTCATGTTCCCTCAAATATGAGAAAAGACATTTTAAAATAGGTGAAGGCACACGGAGAAGCAGGGCCAGCGCTGTCTGTGCGCTGCGGGTCATTTTCCTGTTCTCTGGCTTCTCTGCCCTCTTTACTTCCCCACTATTAACTCTTTGAAATTGAACTGGCCTCCTGGACAGAATGCTCTCAGGAGCTAAGACACTAGCTGGATGCAGACAACAGTCCTGCTGGATTCGCTGTCTCACTCTGAGTTACTTTTTCCTCCCGGCTCATCTTTGATGATTGTCCTGATTCTAACCCAAGTGCAAATGTGATTCCCTCAAGGTCAGCCGTTAACGCGTGTGGAATTTACATTCTCCCGACCTGGTTTCCTGTTTGGTGTTCGCCCTGGCAGCATATTTTGTTGGTTGTTGTTTTTCATCCTTGCTCTTTTCGGTGGAGGGAGGGTGGGGGGTGGTGAATGACAAGGCTTTAGTCCTCCCAGCTGTAGGCCAGACAGCGCTAAATTGCTTTTGAGATGCAGCTCTGATTGACTGGGCGTTCATTTGATTGTCACTGAGAAGTTACGGTGGTAACTCTGACCACTAATGAAATTAATGATGTGCTTTCTTTCAAACCGTTCTCATCTCTTGTCTAATCTTATCCTGCTTCTTTTCTCTGCCCCTCTCTTTGTTCTTTAGGACTTGGCACAATATGTGAATGAAGTGAAAAGAGATAATGAGACCCTTCGTGAAATTAAACAGTTTCAGCTATCTATAGAAAATCTGGTATGTAATTATCTATTCCATCCAGCCTCCCCAGCCCACAAGCTGGGGGACGTTCTAGGAGTTGTTTTTGAAGGAAAGATAGTTTACCTTCAAGTTCTGTTGTTCCGGATTTTGTTTTTTTTTTTCCCTGAGGTCTCTTTGGCAGCCTCCGTATGGATGTCTGGTGGCACCTGGGACTCATCCTTGTCCAGAGACTTTCTGCCATGGCTGCCGTTCTCACCTCTGTCACACGGTGATCCCTCTTCACCCAGCAGTCCCAGTTCTGAACACTGGAGTCCTTTTTTTTCTTGTCTTTTCCTCACCCTCCTACATACTGATGGTGGAGTCCTGTTACTTAATTCATTTTATGTGTATTTACTGGGTGACCCCTGGTGCTTGGGACTGGGGCTGCAACTCTGAACAGCATGGTCTCTGAGTTGAGGAGACAGTAGAAGGAGTTTAAAAATACTCTGTTGAGATCAGCTCTGTGACCAGGTTGCTGCAACAGAGGATGGTGAGGGGAGTCCCAGTTTAGATAAGACAGCCAGAAAAAGTCCGTCTGAGTCATTTGTCACTTGAGCCTGAAGAAGCCAGTGACACAGGGGTCTGTGGAGAGAGGATTCCAGGCCGAAGCCTTAGCAGGTGAATGGCCCAGAGATGGGCAAGAAAGAGCCAGGGCTGTACGAGAAGCTGAAAGGCAAGAGAGGCTGGAAGCTGACAGCAAAAGGAAGGAGGGTGGGCTGTGCAGTGGGGGAGGTGCAGGAGACCTGCAGCCCCCAGCCTGGGGGCCAAGGAGGCGTGTGTGACCAGAGGGCTTCACAGTCTGACCTACATGTTGAGGAAGCCCTTTCAGCAGGCAGCCGGGCAGCAGGTTGTTGAGGTGGTTCCCAGAGAGGGATGACGGAGGCTGGGTGAAGCTGTGGGTGGGGAGACAGAGCTGAGTGAATGGATTTAAGAGACTTTTCTTGGTAGAGCAATGTTAGTGCTCCTTTCTCTGAAACATCGTGAGTCTGGGTGTCGTTCCACACATGCAGCCTGTTCCCCGTTGCAGGACTTCATTGGCCACCTTTCCAGTTACGGTAGCCGCTCATCACCTCTTCACGTAGTCCATTTCCAAACTGCGGATTTCTCAGTTCTTCTCTCCTTCCAAGTCTTGTCGAAATTTTCTGTTACCTTCAAGACTCAATCAGTATTCCTTAGCAAGATATCAAGGCCCTCAGTGATTTGGCCTTAAACTATTTCCCTAAACGTATCCAGCTAATAAGTGTCAGCATGCTTTGTCTCACAGCTCCCCTGCTGCGTTGCGAGGTCTCCGATTTGCCATGCGTTTTTGTAGTTCTGCCTTTGATTATAATGTCAAAGCCTGGAATAATATCTTTTTTCATTATTCCTTATCATATTTCTTCAAGGTCCAACTGAAATTAATTCTTTCCCTAATCCCTCATCTCCCTTTCTCTTTGTAATTCCATAGCACATGGCCTGGATGGCTGTTTTTTTTTAATTGTGGTAAAATACATATAAAACGTGAACTTTACCATGTGTAGGTAGGCGGTTTTGTGACATCAGATGCAGTCATCCTGTTGTGCGGCCACCACCATCATCCATTGTCAGAACTCTTTTCATCTTGCAAAACCGAAGCTCTCTCTCTAGGAACACCAACTCCTCCGTCCTCCTGGACCCTGGGAACCGCTGCTCTACTCTCTGTCCTTACGAAGGATTAGATATTGATACTTACCACGCTTTTGTTCGCACATATTTTCTCACGTTCTGTGGGTTGCCTTTTCGCTCGGGTGTCCTCTGCACGAAATTTTCATTTTTGCTGAAGTCCATCTTATCGATCTTTTGTTGCCTGTGCTCTTCGTGTCATATCTAAGAAATCATTGCTAAATCCAATGTTATAAACCTTTCCCCCTATGTTTTCTTCTAAAAGCTTTATATTTTTAGCTCTTTGATCCACTTGGAGTTAATTTTTGGATACCATATAAAGGAAGGGTCCAGCTTCATTCTTTTGTCTATGCATGCCCGGTTCCCCAGCACCATTTGTTGGAAAGGCTCTCCTGTCAGCCATTGAGTGGTCTTGGCACTCTTGTCTAAAATCATTTGGCCATCTATGTGAGGGCTTATTTCTGGATGTTCTGTTCTACTCCATTGGTTTAGAAGTCTGTGTTGATGCCAGTTGCATTCTGTTTAATAGCTTTGTACTAAGTTTTGAGATCGGGGAGTATGAGACCCCAACCTTGTTCTTTTTTAAGATTGTTTTACCTATTAAGGGTCCCTTGTGATTCCACATGAATTGAAGGATGGAGTTTTCTGTTTCTGCCAAAAACATCATTGGAATTTTAGTAGGAAACATTTATTTTTATACTTTCTTGCAGTACAGTTAATTAATTACCTATCTATCTTTTTTCTTAGAATACATGCATCTAGGTGTTAGTGATCATTTTCAGTCAATTCTTTTTTCCTTTATCACCTTAGTTAGGTGCTCATAAATACTTAAAACTTTTTATCGTCTGTCTCTGGGGAAATGGCTCATTATTTTTAATCATTAAGTCAGAACTTTTCATTCCTGAGATCTTTACTCAGGGAAGCCATTCTCGACTCCCGAAACCAAATTATGTCCCCCAGCCATGCGTGCTTCCTCTGCTCTTCCTTCGTGACTGTCACACATTTGTCATCATTTACTTCCGTGAATGTTTGTTCCCGCAATGGGCAGTATGTTTCAGGAGGGCAGAGTCTGGGTCAGTCTGCCCTGTGCCTGTTACAGTGGCTGGGACAAAGCGGATGCTCAGTAAATATTTGTTGCTGTAACTTCCTTGTGATTTGAATTTTTCCAATTCTCTCCTTCTGTAGCTAACTCCTTCATTAGGCTTGTAAGTGGAATCGGTTAATGTCCTCAGCATGCCTTCTGGGATGACCAAGGACAAGCTTTGTTTCAAAGCGTATTATGTTGATCTGAGGTTTTTAGAGTCTATGTGCTAAAAATGTAAAATGATAAAACTTGTTATATAATAAGGTTATGGTCCCCAAGAAGCCTCACTAATGCTTATTTCTGTTTTTATGTGATTGTGAAAAACTGAGACATGTAAATTTTACATTTTAGAACCAACCAGTTTTGCTTTTTGGACGACCTCAGGGAGATGGTGAAATTCGGATAACCACTCTAGACAAGCATACAAAACAAGAAAGGTGAGAAGGATCAGTGCTCACTTTCAAAATAAGTAATTAGTAGCAGGAGATTGAGAAAATCTTAAAAATTGAGTTCCTCCAGGACAAAGGAGGGAAACAAAGGCAGAAAGATAAGGGGACGGACCAATCTATGTTTTTTAAATTCCCCATGTAGGTATGATAATGTTGTTCTGGATTCTGTTGATTTGCCCAAGTTTGAGTTCTTAGGAAGGAAATGACAAATATAAAACATCAGCCGAAGTGAAAAAGTCCATGAAAATGAGCATAGTGACAGAGCAGTAATAGACAGCTACCATAAAAGCACAATTGTTTGTTTGTTTGTTTGTTTGTTTATTTTGCTATACATTTTAAAGTAACTAAAAATAATACAGAATGTTCTAAGAAGGAAGTCCAAGTGAGGACCATTTAGTGAGACTTTTTTGAGGGAGGTTTGTAGGTGGAGTCTGTAAAGATCAGTGAGCTTGGCCTGGTGTCCCTAATTATACACATGTGATTGTCAAACTGATTTATTTGGTTGAAATGGCCATTTTCTGGATCCTTTGGAGACTGGAAAGTCAGCCAGCAGGGGGCAGCATCAGCTCTTGCTTCCATCTAAATACCCAGGCTCTAAAGGTAAGCTGCCAGAAGATACATGTCCTTTTAGCCTCTCCAGGAAAATAGGCTTGGAAAGTGATGCAAGTAATAGAGCTATGCGACTGTATTGTCACCGTCATCGTTTAAAAAAATGTGTGCATGTTAATCACCAACTGAGAGTTTTCGAAAAGGTGCGAGTATGGGTGTTGAATGTCAGGATTAGCAGGTTTGTCTTCTCCCGCAGTTACATTGTTTTTACTGAGATAGAAGGGAAATCTCAACATATAGATGTAACCGTAATTTCTCTAGCTTCTGTTTGGGTCACATAACACTCAGTTTGTGGTTCAGGCGGTCCATTAAGTCACGAGGAAATACTTAACAGGGTAGACGCGTGAGTTCCCCGAGTAGACCCAAGTGTGGATCCTGCCTGGCACCCACTGGCCATGTGACCTTGATAAAGTCCTCTCACTTCTCTGAGCCTCAAGCCATCTCCCCAGCAAAACGAAGGTATAATAATACCTATCTCAGGAGATGGTCCTGGGGAATTAAATTAAGGGAGTCATCTTCATGGAAGGGATTCTGACTGACTCCTAGTAACATGAGTAGATGGTAACTGCTATTGTCATTAATATTATTCCATAAATGTTTACCTTTCAAACTAAAAGAAAAAAAAGAGTACTGTCTCGTGCACAACTCTTTTTGGCTTAATTGTTCCTGACAACAACTCCCACAGCGTGCATATCATTCTCATTATAATTTTGCCTATTTTTTAAGTGAGGAAACTGAGGTACAGCAAGGTCATTCATTTAGTAAAGGGCAGTGCCAGGACACACACACAGTTCATTCCTTTCAGACACTGCCTTTGTCTTTAACTCACAGGAAAAATCAAATTTTACCTGGGAAGAATTAACCCACATGCTTCCAAACCATTTAAATCAATCTCTCTTTCTCTTTCTCTCTCTCAGGCATATCTTCTTATTTGATCTGGCAGTGATTGTATGTAAAAGGAAAGGTGATAACTATGAAATGAAGGAAATAATAGATCTTCAGCAGTACAAAATAGCCAACAATCCTACAACTGATAAAGAAAATAAAAAGGTGAATTCTTGGAAATGAATAACTGATTTACTCGTAACTTTGACTGTTCAAAGAAAGTGGGCTGCTAGATTAATGTGAGAGGCAGTTTATCGATCCAGGTGTTTTTGTTTCTAGAGATTAATTAGAAGCAAGCCTCTGTGAGAAACAATTGGACAGTGCCACGGCTGATATGATCACCTCAAATGCCTTAATGATCAAGGCAGCAAAATGCATTTGGCATAGCAGTCGTTACAGATACGAAATTGGCTACAATAATCTTGATTGTTCACAGTTTGTATGATGATAAGGCTGTGAGAGGTTTGTGGATGATTCTGGCAGTGTGTTAGTGAATTTGGAAACCTGATGTTATTAATGAATGATATCTATTAACCCGAGGAATGTTAATTTTAACAGTGGTCTTACGGCTTCTACCTCATCCACATCCAAGGACAAAATGGGTTGGAATTTTATTGCAAAACAAAAGATTTGAAGAAAAAATGGCTGGAACAGTTTGAAATGGCTTTGTGAGTATCTCTGCTTTTAAAAGTGCTTTTTTTCTATTGCATAAGTCTCTTACAAACAATAGGCTAAGAATAAATGTACTCTAATGTTTGTAGCATGCATGCAGAGGCCGTGAAAACACTCTGCTCCGAGCATGAGTGCTATGCTGCCGTCTGCTTGATAACTTTGGTCTCTGCAGAGATGTTTTGGCAATTTCTTCAAGAAAAAGAAAGAGGGAGCTCTAATCTTCTGTTTGACTTTCTTATGGGCATATTTAATTCTTTAGCTTTCACCAGTCCCTGAAAATATTAATTACTCTAATGATAAACTTCTAATATAATTGCCATGTTCTGTATACATCTTTAAATTAAAGAGAAATACCCCCAAACACATACAAATCCATGTATCCATATGAACACATCTTTTAGTTTTAATAGAAAGATTGATTTCTTCCTCCTGTTTTGTTTTTAACTCATTTATTTGAATTCTGGGTAAATGGCTTGACATATTCAATGAATGCTTCAAGGATGTGATTTCTTTCAGGGTTCTTTCCTTTTATTAAAGTGGAGCTGAACAAGGAAGTGGGGAATAAATCAGAACTGTTACAAAAGGAATGGCATAAAGAGATGTAATTATATAAGAACATGTCACTGTAGGGGTCTCTTTTCAGTTTTGAGGTTTATGGATTAAAAGGTGCATAATGACCCTTGTTGTGAAACATATAGGTCACCCTGAAATTGAAACTGTTAACAGAAGGTGAAATTAAGGGGAAAAAAAACACTTTTGTAATCTACTTCATTTGTATTCTAGCATTATTTACTTTTTGTAGACAAATTCTATCAGATTTTTTTGTTTGCTTTTTCTTTTGCTTTGTTTTTGTAAGTGTTCACATTAATGTAAAATGGAGCAAGGATTAGAATATTTTTATTGTAGTTCTGAACTGAGAAAAATAGAAATTTTCTTTAGATGATTTTCTCTAACGTTTTGAGAGAGAGGATTGTGCAGCTAACTATTTTTCAGCCCATGGACAATTCTGGATCCAGCAGTAACCACTGCCATGAACTGGGTGCATAGTCTTAGCTGATTTGTTTATCCTTTCAGAGCCTCAGTTTCCTCCTCTGTAAAATAGGGATAATAGTATTTTGAATTCAAGATACTTTGTGTCAAGCAGAGTGGCGGCCACACGGTACAGCGGCAGTGATAAGTATTGAACAGCGAGTGGTAGCTGTTGTTACCACTATTACTTAATATTGTTTTATATTTTGGATCCTAATAAAATCAGAGGGCATTTTTCAGTTTCTATGATAGTTCTTAACATTTATTATTATTGATTATAACAACTAAACAGAAAAGCTTAGCAGTTGTGTGCATCAATAAAATGAGTATTCTACAGGGACCTCCCTGGTTTGGGGCACCGATGATGAAGTTGGTGACCCCGCCCAGTCTCTGATGAACAGTGGGCTACATCATAAACCTAGTGTGCTGTTGTAGTGAGGTTTCAAGCGATAGCCTGCACTTGGACTGGAGCAGTTGGGGTTGGGGTGACAGGATGCTGGGGTTCTGATACTGTGAAAAGGCAGAGCTGATCTCAAGCCTTCACTCTTGTGGAAAGGTTACTGGGCTGGTATTTTCTTATGGATTCTGTTTGGCTCTATAATCGTTACATGAGTGAAGGAATTTCTGCAGAGGAGGGAAGCTAAATGTCTTGTCCAGAGAAGGCAGGCTCCTTGGACTATGTAACAGGCTTATCACTTAATATTTTGTTCAGTTGATGTAAATTAAAAACAGCTAAGCTCTGGATACAAGAGACTCAACAAGATGGATGCTTATCTCTCTTTTTCATGTAAAAGAGTCTGGGGTAGGTAGACAGGGGTGGTACTGTGGATCTCTGGAGTACTGTCGGGAACCCAAGCGCAGATCTTCCTGCTCTGCCAATTTCACCCTTTGGCTTCTGTCCTCAGGGTTGGCAACCTTGTCATCCAGAATATCTGCTGGAGCTCCAGCCATCACATCTACATTCTTGGCAGCAGAAAGTGATCCTCATTTTTAAGGATCCTTTGCAGAAATGCTATAAACTTCTGTTATGTAATATTGATTAGCACATTGTCACGTGGCCACATCTGACAAGGGAGCCTAGGAAATACCGTCTTCATTCTGTGCAAGGTTATGCTTGGCTAAGAGTCAAGGTTCTCTTATTGTGGGAGGAAAGAGAAATGGGTAGTTGTAGGCAACTGTCAGTCTCTGTTGTGCGGGTATATACATACCGGAGGAGTATGGGGGGGTTTAAATAGTTTCAACGCGAGAAAGATGGCTGTACCACACACAGGGACCCTGCGACTCTTCCATCTTTGAGCACATTCCAAGCATGTCAACAACATAATTAAACACCCATGGAAGTGGTTGTTTGTATTTCAGAGTTCCATCAATTACCCATGCAGATGGTGAGAGGGTGGAGGTACCTGTTCTTGAAAATTACTCAAAGTTTGACTTTAAGCAGGGATTATGCATGTATGATAAAATAAGGATTTTATTCAAGCACCAGAATATTTCATTATTTTATTTCCTCTCCTCTTTTTTGAAACTGAAGTTATGCTGGAGAGCCCTGCTTCCAGCTTTGTAAGACAGATCTTGCTTGTCATGTACTCAGGAAAGTTGAATAATCTAGGTGAGTCCTGAAGCTTAAGACTTCACCTAGGCTTAAATTTTGCTATTTTACCCATTATCTAAAGTTCTAGTACTCTTAATCTATGAGCCATGGAGAAGAAAAGAATACTCAGAAATCCTGCAGCATTCATGACAGGACGTGATGAACAGTAAGCCATGTGCATTTCCACAGACCAGCTCCTTCCAGTCCCTTTGGCATTGACAAGGGTCCTGCGAATTCCCCTGTTGATTCTGGAGTGTTGCTTTAAGAGATTTTGAAAAGGAAAGGGAGGCATTGGTAGGAAGGTGGTGGGAAATGAAGGGAGGTGATATTTTAAGACTGATGAAATGCTTGCCAGTTCTATTTATAGATGATGGCAGTTCTGCTGTTTAGGACATTTTTATTTAAAAAAATTGCAAATCACCTTTAAGGCATTTAAAATACTGCTCTTAATTTAGAATATTAGAAAGGGCCATATAAAGGCATGAAGACCAAGAAACAGTAAGTATCTGGTAAATGCAAATCATTTCCCCAGAGGTGACCTAAATCTGAGCGTCTGTCTTTCCTAAGCACGCCCCATCCCTGCTCAGTAGCGTGCTCTCTGACCTTCTTTGGCCATAACCACTTCCAGCGTTTACAGAATGCACCGGACCACATCAGAACTTGGCAAACCTCTGGAAGAAAGGCTTCGCAGAGAGAAAAGCCGCAGTGACACACTTGGGTAGGGCAGGAAGAAGGATGCCTTTTTTCTTCTTTCCTGTGAGAAGAGGTGGCCTCAGGACTGATGGCTCTTGAGGTTGTTGGAACGGTTACTGAGCCGAGGAATGCTTGAGAGCTCTGGTTCTGGGGATTGCACTCTAAAGAAGAGATTTAGATCTTTAATAGCCTGATTGTTACGCGTTGTTTATTCTTGTTTATTTCCGAAAGGGCTTTTTGTCATTGTCTCCCACGGTTCCATTTAGTCATCTGTGAAATAGGATGGCATATATTTTTATGAGAATAAGCTGGTTCTCGTAATGATGTTGCAAAGTGTAGATATGAGTGCTTATAGCGGTGTTCAAAATATTATCAGAAAGCTATGGATGGGTTTCCTTCATACCCCTGAAAGCCAGTGTTTTTGCGAATTCTCCTGTTAGATTTAAAGTAACGAACATTGTCATACCCATTTTATAGCTCAGGAAGCTAGCAGTCACAGGGCTATTTCAGCAAATTTGTCCGAGTTCAGTGCTCTATCATTTGCAATAGAGTTCAGGATCTCAGTTCACAGCATTTTCTTTATCCATGCAGGTGCTAAAATAAGCACCCAGGCTCAAACCCTGTTATCTAAAACTGGAGTCAGGTTTCTTTCTTCCTTTTTCTTTTTTTTTTTTTTCCCCCACAGTGACTAGGACCTAGAGGATCAGGCAGTGCCCTTAAATGTTCCAGAAATAAGTCAAAGTTGGGTAAAATATGAAATAAAGAAATTGAACAGTAGAATAAGAAGACTTTTAAAAGGGAGAGCTAGAGAAAGAAAAGTAAAATAGGACGAGAAAAGAGCATCACAAATGGTAGAAAGTGGTAGATTCTGAGCCGGCTTCTGTCGTGTTTGTTGAAGAGAGGTGAGAGGCCCTCTTGCCTGGAATTTCTTCTGACTGACCTGACCCAATTCTTGAAATTCTAACGGTTTATGTATACTCCCTTGAAGAAAGGAAGCCCCCCTGAAGATGCACGTACCCTTATTACCATGCTATGTAAGATTTCTTCCCTGTGGACCATATGCCAGGCACGGTGCCACATGGATTACCTAAGGCAAAACAGCAGAGACGTCATTAATGTCTGATAAAATATTAGCCCGGGATATATGTCTGTTAAAAGCTAGGACTGATGGTAGCAGGGAGAAGAGGAGGAAAAGGGAGTATAGAAATTCTAGAGCTGGGGAGGGGCCCCGGGACCAGGCTGCCTTGTCACCGGGCAGGGCAGTCAGTCCCTGAGCTTCGTTTCCCACGATGAACCCCTGACCCTGAAGAGGAGTGTTCTCCAAGTGGGGCGGGGCAGGGGGCAGGAATCCAGCCGTTAAACTCCACAAATCGCGCTTAATCTGAGCAACAGTGTTTCTTTCTGATTGATTCCCCATTTACTTCCAGGAGGAATTTGAGGTCACTCACCATAAAAAGTGCACATGCCACAGAGTTAAAAAGAAAAATTTAAATAATCATGAGGTCAAACAGAACAGTGCTCCAAAGCATTTTCCTCAGACTCAGGCTCCACTTGACAAGAACATTTTCCTGAAATTCACCTTCTGTCTTTTGAATGTAAAAGCCATGGGTGTGTTTTTCACATATTAAATATAAAATTATATTTTATCAAATTTAATTTGTTTTAATCTAAAGATATTGCTCA